TTTTTTAGCCGCTGACCGCTGCTTAATTATAAACGCCGCGAACTTAATCTGGAGCGCGGCAGCTGGACAATGGACAATGGACAAGCCGACAATAGACGACAATGGTCACGGGATACGGGATATGGTGGGGCATGTGCTTTGTAATGCCGCCGTCATTGCTGTTACCAGCTGCCACCTGTCCGCCCCGCCTGCCTTACGGCCAACAGTCAGTTGTTGGCCAAAATGCGCACAAGAGTTGCCAAACAAATTCTTTTGTTACTTAATTGTAACCAAATTATTTCCACACGCTCTTGCGACTTCATTGTTCCGCTTGCGCTTTGGCCATTGGTCTGCCGCCTTCAAGCAGGGAGCGGGACGCCATTTTGATTACATCTCTTGGGAGGGGGGACGGGGAATGGGGCAAAGGGGCAAGTTTGGTGCCGTCCGTCGATCTTTATCGCGTTCAGTTTACAAAATTTCGCTCCTAATGAGCGATTTTCAACATTGTAATTCATGACAGCAACGAGCGCTGCCTTTTCATGTGGTTCCATGACGAGTTTTCAAACCGAAGGTCCAAACCCCAACAGAAACTTGCAACCGACGACGACGACGATGACGAACAATTTGCTGTGGGTGTGCCCCTGGCAGAGGGCGTGACTCGGTTGTTAAGCGTGCAGCTTTTTCAGCAAAAACATTCCACATCAACTTTGCTCTTTTTTTATCTTTCAATTTTTTTCGCCTAATTGCAGTAGCTTAGCTCTAGATACAATCTATTTACACACAAGTTGCAATATCATGAGAGCCTTGGGGTATATGTTTTTTTTTTTTTTTTTTTTTTTTTTTTACTTCTAAATGAAATACACCTATTTGATGATATTTATTTATTTAATTTAATATTTATAATTCACATAGGGGCAAAAATATCTTAGTTTTATTTATTATTTTTCTTTTTTGTTTTAAATTAAAATGCAATGAAAATGAAATTATAAAGTGGACTTAATAACTTTTATCCATTGTTTGCTGAATTAATATATGGTGTGGGTGTCTGTGTTTTTTATACCCTGAACCCATTGAAAATGGAAAATCAGGGTATAATGGTTTTGTGAAAAATATGTAACAGGCAGAAGGAATCTCGCAGACCCCATAAAGTATATATATTCTTGATCAGGACGACGATCTGAGTCGATATAGCCCTGTCCGTCCGTCCGTCCGTCCGTCCGTCCGTCCCTCCGTCCGTATGAGCAAAAGGATCTCAGAAGATATAAGAGCTAGAGAGCTGAAATCTGGCATGCATACTCGTGTATACCATAGGCAGTACAAATTTATCATATTTTTTCGATAACTCATCCGATAACTTTTTTTATCGAGAATAATCGAAAAATCGACATTGTTTTTTCAGCCTAATTTGAACACTTTTATACCTGGAGACTTCAAATTTGCGTTGTATATAAAGTTAATCGATACAAAGATTTTGTATTTTACAGGTTTTGGATACCACGCCCCATTCGCCCCCAATTTGTAAAAAAACGCATTTCAAGTACTAGAGAATTCTACTTTGGAATGTACACACATTTTAACCATATGGTTACGCTATGAAAGTTTCATTAGGATTGTATGCCTATAAAAGAAATTATTGAACAAATAAATTCTCAAATTATTGCCCACGTTGCAGCGCAGCCCAAGCACAGCCGCTGCTTACTGCGCAGTTAGCAGAGCGCGTGCTTGTAAGTGCATGTGTATGTACGTGTACTTAAAAGAAGTCCAGAATGATTAGAATATCAGCTTGGAGGGTTCAGGGTATCTCCTAGTCGAGCAGTCTCGACTGGAGCATTCTTACTTGTGTTTTTTTTTTTTTTTTTTTTTAAGATATTTTAAGTGTAGATGATTATGCTATGCATATACCAGAGTTTTATAGCTAGAACCCCAGGTGGTCGCGAGACACCTTAACATTTATAGATGGGTCGACAAATAAATGGGCGTGGGAAATACGAAAATATTGACATTTGAATCAAATTAGCTGTGTTCCTTATCAGAAACAAGTATTGTATTTGGCAGTTGGAAGAGCCCAGCTGAAACCGTCTCAATTCATATTCTAATGTAATGTTAACAAGCTGTCAGCGCCACTGAATCATCAATCAAATAATCTCAGTTCGGAGCTCTATTGATACAAGGTACAACATAATATGAGAAATTGATGAAAGCTTTAACACATAAAATAGTTCGGTAGATAATTATGGTCGAGCAAAGGCGAAATTGATGATCGAATAACCCACATAAGTCAAAGCAAGTTAATCAGTTCATTTCCACACCATTTCCAGTCAGACGATGGATCTTCATTACAGCGGCAGCAGTTGATTATAAATCATAACAGCAAGAACCAGAAAAACTGGCGCCAACTATAAAACTACATATGTAGATCTGAGCACACACACATCAAGAGTGAGAGAGAGAGAGAGAGAAAGGGGGAGAGAGTAAAGAGGGAGAAAAGTTTCTTGAACTTACATGCGGATCTTCGTCAGCGATGTGAACGCATTCAGCTTAACTGGCAATTGAGGCAACTAGAAGTGACATCATATATAAGGATAATTCACTCGAAATGTTTATACAGACCGTAATCCGTCGCGCAAGGCGAATAAATTGAAAGAAATGTTTCGGCTAGATGTGGTGCAGTGCAATGGAGGCGAAGGCGAGACGAGGGAGGCGGGTAGCCTCGGCCAGAGCCTCGTCAGTTTTTACGTGGAAATGAGACAAACAAATAAATTTACTTTGATTGAATAATGGTTCCATAATTGGCAACTTGAATGGAATTGAGTAGCAGGCAAAACAGATGCTGCAAAACTCAATTGAGAAATGTAGCAACAGACTGAAGCATAGCCCCGATGCTGCAGCAAGATAAGACGCATCGTAGATGAACATATATTAGATATATTTGTGCATATAGCATATAGACAGAGATATTTCTATGCAAACGCGGGCCTTAACTAACTGAATTGGATAATCTCATTCTGATTTCGAGACTTGAGCTGAGAAACAGCAACGAAATTGCAAGCTGAGTGGAGCATGCAAGACCTGTAAATACCTTGTAAGTTAGTTGATATTGATTGATTGACTATATAGTGAATAGTGAATATATGTATATATGAATATTTGAGTTAGATTTAATATACCAAATATCATGGACCAAAGTTAAGTAGTTTCTGAGACTGTCTATCAATCATTTTATCTATTTTTCTTCAGATTTACACTGCAAGAAATATATAATTTTGGTAATATTTTCCATATATTTCCATATATCGAACTCTAGCTGTAATAGCCTCTAAAATCTAGAAGTTTGTATAGCTCACTTTATGATAAAGAACTAAAACTAAAGTAAGCTTGATTAGCATTACTAACATATATTTGTTAAGAAAACCTTTTGATTTTTCCAATATCAATATCTCAAGTTTAAGCAGAATTCTAGCTAATATACCCTCATATAACTACTATTACAGGGTATGCGAAGAATGTTTAAGCTCGCTACTGGCGTCGCATTGTCGCCAATTGTTGTCTAAGATTTTGTTAAATTGAAATGTGCAACTGTGAAATGTCAGGCGACAATTGTCAACTAGATGGATGCGATATTCCACATACGCCCCGTTGCCAGCATCATCTGCGGTCCCTAAAGTAAGCTGCAGATCACAGATTGAATCTTGAGTCTCTGCAGTTTATTAACCTGCAACAGAGCGCAGGGCAGAGTAACTTAGCGCGAGTGATTCATGCATTTGAGCAAGTGGATGAGATTGAGAGTTGAGATGAGATGAGAGCAACATGGGAAGAAGAAGAAGAAGAAGAGTAGGGGCTATGCAGAGCGTGGTATAGTGTGGTATACTGGGAAGTATGAAGTTATTCAGATTGGGGAAAGATAAGGGGGGATAAGATAAGGGATTAAATATGTTGACAAATATGCTTTTTAGGTGAACTTATCTACGTCTAAATCTATATATATATAAATGAACTCTAAAGGAGAGTATCTTATAGAGATACTCGAGCATTTGGTATATCTGTAAAGTACAACACATATGTACGTATGTTATATATCTCTAAAAAATACTCTCTATAAGATACGCTCTTTTAGCGTAAGTTGTTTGGCCTTTCTCATGTTTAACTCTGGTTCAGCTATTTGAGCGTTATCGAATGTCTTGAGCGCACTTCATTCCATGTGGCTGCATCTTTACAGATCAACGCCAACGCCTACGGCCGAGCGTAGTCTGCGGCACGGCCCGCATTTCTCTGTGCTAACGAAATCCAATTCCCATACACATGCACACACGCTCACACAAACATACACCCGACAACATATTGGACGTGCAACCACAACAACAACAACAACAGCGAGAACAACATAATGACTAGCAAGTCGGTAAAAACAATTTCATCAGCTGCCGAGTTCCGCACGCTCCACTTGCCGCTCTCCTCTCCTTTCCTCGCCCCTGCCCCCGCCTCGCCCCTCATTTTGTTGGCGTGTGTGGGACATGCGCTAAAATTTTATTTGATTTGACACTTAGCAGTGCCTGTTAGCGACGCGATTCGTCTGTCTGTGTGTGCGTGTGTGTGTTTGTGTGCGTGTATGCGACTTATTAAGGACTTCCTGTTGGCCATCAGCATCTTTTGTCGCGACAACAGATTAATTTAACGCACTGCAGTTCAATTTAGATCGCCATTTGGTACAGTCGAATCGAATTAAAAGACATTTTCAAATTTCAATTTGATTTTGCAGTTTCTTTGCATTTCTTTTATTTCAATAGAATTTCAATTTTATTTAATGTCTGCCTTCTAAAGTACACAATAATAATAATAATCGTTTTAATAATAATTGTAATCATAATATAAATTAATTAGTGCTTAATTTCAAATGCCTGCTGCGCTTAAGTATCGTTATCGTTATCGCTATCGAAACAAATAGAACTTGCTGTTCTTTTTATATCGTTAAAATACCCTTGCGAGAAATTTGAAAAATTGTAACATTTACAAAGTATTATTTAAAGTTAAGTTGGGTGAATTTGGAATAATATTAAAATTTAATAATATTAAAATTTGTTCCTCAAGAAATAGAATTTCAGCAAACTATTTTTAAAAGCTTTTAAGCAACATAAGCTTTAGTTAGAAAAGTTTTTTAAGCCTTTTTCAACAATATTACAATTATCCAGGCTCTGTGGATCGTTATTTTGTAATATTTTACTTTGTATCATATGGATAAAGCCGGAAAAGGATGATTGGCCATAATTAAATTATTTTACAGATTTAAACTTTTGAAATGTTGATCTGTAAGTTTAATTTGAAAAAATCTTGAATTTTCCCTATGTTTGTATAATAGAGCAACTTTATTATTTTTTTTAGACAAACTTTTAATATCAAACAATTTTGTATTAATAGCTGATCATTAATACAAGTAAAAGGAAATATCTGGATTTTTAAGTTTCAAAAAATACTTTTTGGATTTTATTTAGTATAAAACTCAAACATATTCAAGAAATTTTCATGATTTTCTCTGTAAGGTAAAGTTACATAATTCCCTTCAGCTAAATAAATATATTTTTATTTAATTTGATTCCCTATATATCTATATATACGCTAAATATCTTTACTCTGCAAGGGTATTTAAGCTTCGACTAGCCGAAGTTATGCCATTTTCTTACACTTCTTTCTCTATCTCTCTCTCTCTATTTACAAGCGTCTAGCGCCTCAGTCGCGGCTAATTTTTGTTAATTTTTTTTTTTATGTACAACGAATACTTATACACTACATGCCGGCCCAGCAGCTGCTTCAGCTATTGCGTGTGACAACTGTGACTGGCTTGAGCAACGGTTGCTGCGGTTGCGGCAGCGGCAGCGGCTGCGGCTGTGGAGCTGGACCAGGAGAACGGGAGTTGGCGTCGCCGTTGGCCTGTTGCTGAAGAAGCTGCTGTTGCTGCTGCTGCAGCAGGCTGGGCGATGAAGGCGGCTGGCCGAGATGTGTCATGTGTGGCTGTGGCGCCGGCGCAGTGGGCATCGCTGCGCTGAGCTGCCTTTGATGTGCCGCCAGAGCGGCGGCGGCGGCATGCTGATGCAGCAGCTGCTGGTACTGCAGTCGCTGGTACAGCTCCTGGCTGCTGGCGGGGCTAACGAAGGGCGGCGGGGGCGGTTGCGGTGGCGCCGCTCCACCCGGGTGGCCCACCAGGCCGGGTGGCAGCAGACCCGCCGCCGCGGCTGGACTCTTTGGCGCGAAGGGATTGTAGCGCTGATACATGCTAGCCAGCAGGCTGGGCGCCGCCTGTGGATAGGTGAGGAACTGTCCGAACTGCGGATACGCCGCCAAACCGGGAAACATCGGTCCGATCAGCGAGCGCTTGAAGGCGGCCAGGCGGGAGCGACTGGCGGCGGTGGTGCGACGTCTCAGTTTGCCGGTGGAGCCACCAATGAATACATCCTCCGCCGAGGGATCGAGCATCCAGTAGTTACCCTTGCCGGGATCATCGTAATGCCGCGGCACCTTCACAAAGCATTTGTTCAGGCTGAGATTGTGCCTGATGGAGTTCTGCCAGCCTTGTTTGTTGTCCCGATAATACGGATGATTGGTCATGATGTACTCGTAGATGCCATTCAATGTCAGACGCTTCTCCTGACTCTGCCGGATGGCCATCATGATGAGCGCATTGTAGCTGTATGGCGGCTTCTCGTTGCCCTTCTTGTCCTTGATGGGTTTGCCATCTGTTGATTTGGTCTCTGAATCGCCATCGTTATCACATTCCACATCCTCATCTCCTTCTGCATCTCCATCGCCCTCTGCATCCGCATCTTCATCATCGGGTTCGTCTACATCAACGGGCGGTGCTGGCGACATGGAGGTCACATCCAGATCCGATTCCACATCGCTCTCTGGTTCTGAACCCAGAGGTGAGCTATTGTTATTGTTGTTGTTGTTGTTGTTGTTGTTGTTATTATTGTTGAACTTTTGTTCCGCCTGATGTCGCTGCTGGTCCTCCTCCTCGTCGCGCTGCTCATCCTGCTCCACCGTCTCCGGCAATATGGAATTGATGGAGAAACTGGACTTCAGATGCGGCGTGCGAGCCATTTTCATGAGCAGCGTAGCCGGCGTCAGATTCAAATTCAGATTCAATGCGCCGACGGTATTAAGATGCGGATGCGAATGCGAAAGCGGATGCGTATTTGGCTGTGGATGATGTGTGTGCTGCGCGTGATTATGTGGATGATGATGATGATGTGCGTTGAGCTCGTCAACGATTTTCACCATTTTGCACTACAGATTGTTGTATAATTTATTGTTGTTTTTTTTTTCAAAATTTGTTTTCTATTTGTTGCTAACCAAGCATTTTATTAATTTAAGGCTTGTATAATATTTATATCACAACAGCAATAAATATTTGAATGCCTCCCACACGCGTATTCGTTTACGATTGGATTACATTTGCCATTCGCCGTGGGCCGTTTACCGTTTGCCGTTTACCGTTCAGCACGTTCTGTTCGTTCACACGTCTGCTGCGCTGTGGCGTTTTGTGTAGACTAACAAGAATTCCCAAATCTCAATCCAGTTGCTGCGCCTGGCGGCTATTGCTGCTATTCCCACTGCCACAACAGCCAATGGCAGCTGTGGATTGTGTTCGTGTCGTGCATGCTCCCTTTCTCTCTCACTCTATCGTTCTCCCAGGGTGCAGCAGTAGCTCGCTCGCTTGCGCTTGCTCTGCGCTTGACGTGCTCGTGTGCGCGCCTGTGTCCATGTGTGTGTGTTTGTAGAGATTTTTACCATTCGCCGCTAATTGCTGTGCTGACATGACACGAACGCCGCCGACTGGTCTTTGTTTTTGGTTTTTATCGTTTAGCATGGGGTGGGGAACGCAATGCCCGGGTTGTGGGTTGCATTTTGATACGCCAGGTCTCTAGTTTGCTGTGCTCTTTTTGCAGCAGCTGTCGCTTTTGTTACAGTTACGCCAACTGTTGTTGTTGTTGTTATTGCCATGAAGGTCCCTTTTAATGTATTTTTCGCTTTCACACACACATACACACTAACACGGTGCCTATTGTCGTTTTTGTGTTTAATATTTCTCTGTATTTGAGCTATTGCCCCCTTTAATTTGCACGATTTTTTTAAATAAATTGCGAATAATTTATAGCATGTTTATAAAACAATGGAAGCATATGACACTATTGAACAAATTTTAAATTGTTGAAGCTGCATAACAAACAAGTAAAATTAAATTATTACATTTATATGAAAAACAAATCACAATAATTGAGGTCTCAATGAAAAATCAATTATTTTTTAAATCGGTTAAATCGAGCCGTATAAAATAATAACAGCGAATAGCAATTTGCAGCAATCATAAAATTCGTAGAATCTTCAAGAAGGCAGCAGCTGTTGCTATTCGCATGGGGCATGCCACAAAGAACAAATAATTTACTATTTCTAAGTGAAGAGCGCAATCATTTTGTAATCATAATAATTGTTTTCGCTTATAGTGGGCGTGTACACAGCTGTGCTCTGATTGTGTATGTGTGTGTGTGGAACACAAAAGGAGGACAGCGCGCTCTGATTGGAGCCAAGACACAGACAGTTACAAAGGTATAACATGTTTTACCTGCGAAAATCGACTAAATAAACCCCATAGAAAAAATGCAGCAGGAGCAACAGAAACTACAGAAACACCAACAACAATTGCATAAATAAAAACATCAGACGCCATGTTGGCCAATTGTTGTACTTTGTGGATTGTAGCTCTGACTCTGGCTCTTGCTCTTGCGTTTGCTCTTGCTGTTGCTGTTGTTGTTTTTGCGCATCCCACTACGGAATGTGGTCGGCTTTATGTATATCAAAATAAATGTATGTGTGTGAGAATATGGATATGTGTATGTGCATGGCTAAAAATTATTGGACGTTCGGCTTGCGTGTAGAGTGGAGACATGCGCGCAAAACTTTTTACTCACTCTCCTACCATGCATGCGCTCACACATACCACACATACACGTAGGCCCTCTCCCTCTCTCATGCCATGTACATATGTATATGTACATTTGTTAGCTTAATGGGGGCTCGCAGGTCAAAACAAAATGGCGCTCGCAACGGCATTTTAATTGCTGGCTTCAATATACATATTTCAATGGATCTTCAGCTGCGTACGCGTTTTCAATTGGGTGTGTACATATTAGTGTTTTATTGTTGTTTATTGTTTTGGTTACTTGCATAACAGTTTTGTTATGCACACGATTCACGTACCGAATGAGAGTATATCGGTTTCCAATGATTTTTTTTTAATTTGTGTGTAACTTGTGGAAGCTATGAGTTTTTAAATTTGAGTACAGTTTACATATATTTATCAGTACATATTATACCCATTCGCCAGCTTCCCATTTTCTGTACATTATATAGATATATTTTTCAAGATCCTCATCCTCAGATATCATAGATCGACATTGCATTAAACCCACTGGTAGACCGGAAATCCGGAGCCTAAGCCTACGTTGCTTCCTTCCGCATCGTTCCCTAAAAACCTTCATTGATAAAAACAGTGGCAAAGTCAATAAAAGAGTTGTTTAAAAAGCGGCTACCGTCGAGAGCCGCAAATCAAACATGAATAAATCAATATACCCATATGAGCTGAGGCCGGTCATAGAGCATTCGAGAAACAGTTATCGGGCAGCGGGTATTTACGGGGGCGAGAGTACTTTACTAATCAGCCAGATTTATAGACGGCATTTAGTTTTGTTCGTTTTGTTAGCGCAGAGACGCGCACCTTTGATATTTGTCCAGAGGGGCAAGTAAATCCCTGAGCATCACTTGGCCCTTTACTCAACCCTTTAGCTCTCAGCCCGTTCGCGACGAGGCTGGTCAAAGTTGCCGCGCCCACGGTCCGCCCGCACGGATCGCGATGTCCTTCCGGGTAGCGGCGATGCCCGCTTTATTTTGATAAACTCAATGGCAGTTTAACCGCAGGATTAGCTTGTTTGCTCAACGGATCAACGCGATGCATGCAAACAGAGGCGGCTACCTAAGCGGGCGGATCGACTGGCCAGGTAATGGGCAGTCAGGCCAGCATTGCAGCAGGCAACCGAACGAATTGGTCGGGGTTAACGGGTTAAGCAGCGCTCTCAGGACATCGGCTTCCGTTGTTTACATTGTCTGTTTACATGCAGCCGAGCGTTGCCTGAACAGTAGCCAAAAATTTGAGTTGCAAATTGGTCTTAGCCACGCCCAGGAGTCGCTTCGCTTGTGGCTGTGCCGTGCCGTGCCGTGCCGAAAGAGTTAAGCAAAGGATTTAGCATGTCCTTGTGGGCTTGGATTTGGCTGGACTTAGCTTAGCGCGTATTAATCTGATATTCGTGGACTTCCACGCCGACGCTGGACATTGGACTATTTTTCAGCCTAATCGCCGTCGCTTAGCCATGCAAATATTTTCCAACATCAGTGCGCGGGATTTGTCTCGATTAAAGCCAGCAAAGGGTTAACAGTTAAGGACTAAGGGCTGAGGGTTACGGCTAAAACCCTTATGTTTTGGCCCCGACTGACATCTGATTTCGTTTAAGGCGCATTCTGATGCTCTGGTCCAGTTGAACTGTTACACTTACTCTGCTGCAATATACCCTGGCTTTTTGTTAGGCGCCTGGTTATGGGGGCGGTGGGTTGCTATGGGACTCTGCCCCGCTTTTCTGGCAAATTGGCCAAATTTTGTGAAAATCATGCACAGAACAGCTTTTCCGCTCAACGGGTTCCTTTCACAGGACAACGGACAGTTTTGGACATTGCCATCTCTCTCTCTCTCTCTCTCTCTCTCTCTCTCTCTCTCACTCTCGCTCGCTCTCACTTTGCCTCTCTCTTTCTCTGTTATTGTTGTTATTATCGTGTGCTTCGTTGTGCAAATAAACAGCCAAACGAGTGTGTTACAAGTGTGAAAGCCCAAGGGCGCAAGGGTGCAGGGCTGCACGGGCCAAGGGGCGGATGCTAAAGGGGGTGCAAGAAACAGCGTATGGTTAACGACGGGTGGTTAACACCAACAGCAGCACCAGCATCGAGATTTGAGCTTAGAGTAAGCAAAGAAAAAGAATGTATAGCTGATCGACTATTGATTACTCTAGGAAATGAAATGAGGAAATTAAGTTTTGCTCAGTTATTCATCTACATGCCTGTTGAATACTCTAAGATATAAAAGCTAGTATGGTAAGAAATTGTTTATAAATTGTATATATGTATAGGTATAAACAAATTTAATTTATTTATAAATATTTTGCTCTCTGTGTAGTTAAAAACTAGTTGCCTTAAAACATTTGTAAAATATGTCTTAAACCGTAATTATAATTATTATATAAGTTAAGCGCTCCCATATTAGAGTACTAATGAATATGGGCGCTGAGTAAGGCTCTCGGGACTATAAATAACTTTGTGTTCAATAAAGTAATATATTTGATATAATTTAGTAACAATATGTCTAAACTATTTCTCGTTCGAATATGAACTAAGCCATATAAGTTGGGTTCTCCCCTTGAATGTCTAGTCTTCTCAAACGTAAGTTATATATACAGACATACATATTATTATATATGAGACGCTGATTATCTCAATTGTTTTATATTAATATCCTTTGACTTGTATTAAATCTACAAAAATTTCTTGTTTTCTCTACTCTACAAGATTTCTCCTGATATTTGAACCCAATCTGCTATTTCATTTTTGACCGACCTAAGGACGACATTCCTAGTCACATAGCCCAGTCACTCAAAATATGCTATGTAAAAAAGCAAAATACCAAATCTGCTGTGTTTTCTAAACGCAAACTTTGCCTCTGCCTCCGCCCGCGTCTCTTACAGCTGTGTGAGCAGCCCCTCATTCTTGCTTTTTTTATAGACTAACACTTGATAATTGTTGACAATGTGTTATAAACTGATTTACACGCATTTAACGAAAAGAAACACTGCCAAAACTCACGCAGCGCCAACACCAACAGCCGACAGCAACAACAACCGACAACAACAACAACAACAACAACAACAAGATGACGAACATCGTTAGCGTCGACGGGCAACCGCTTAGATGTCATCGTTAGCTGATGTTGCTGCTGGCGCAGGGAAATTGAAATGGGCAAACGACGGAGGGGTGTGGGGGCAGGGCAACTGGTCGCGTGTGCCACGCGAGGGTGGCAACTTAAAGGGGCAAACACGATTTGTGTGTACTGAGCTGCCGCTGCCGCTACTGTGGTTGTTGTTGTTGTTTGTGTGCGTTAATGAACTGCGTAACAATTAACAGCAACAACGAGCACAAATAAAGCGCAACAACAGCAACAAGCAGCAGAAGGGTGCTGCGACTGCGGTGGCTGCAGCTCAGCTTAAAAGTCAGTGGCCACGCACACGATTCCCATTACGATGCCCTCTTCCCACTGTCCAGACCCAATGCCCAGTCCCTTTCCCATTCCCATTCCCAGTGCCATTGCCATTGCCCATACCGAATCCACAACTTAAACTGAGAAGCGACTGCTGCTGCTGCGGGTTCATTTGCGGATTTATTGCTGCATAATCGGACAGCAGCA